CCCTGAAACCCTAAACCCCTGAAACCCTTAATCCCTAAACCCCTAAACCCTAAACCCTGAAACCCTAAACCCTGAACCCTGAAACCCTAGGGGGTTCTGGGCTTTCTGGAGTCTCGCCTGAGGCCGGCGACCCCGGCATGTGGAGACGGCAGCGATGCTTCCGCCTCCACACGGGCGAGCTCTGAGGAACCACTTAGGGTTTAGGGTTTAGGGTTTAGGGTTCCATTTAAGGGGTTTCGGTTTTTGGGGTATTGGCTTCAGGGGGTTTCGGTTTTTGGATATTGGGTTCAGGGGTTTTCGGCTTTGAGGTGTTGGGTTTAGGGGTTTTCGGTTTCTGGGCAAAGGGTTTAGGGGATTGGGGTTTTTGGTTTTTTGGGAGTATAAGGATTTCGGTTTTGGGGTATAGATTTGGGATTGTGGGTGTCGGCTTTTCGAGGGTCGGGGGTATGGTTCAGGCTTTTCGGGGGCAGGGTTTAGGGTTCATGGGTGAAGTGCCACAAATTTGGGGTGACACCAGGCATGTGTCGGGCTGCGCAGCTGCAGCTTTAGGGATTAAGGTCGTTAAGTACACTGTTCTTATGAACAGCTGGTTGTTTTGGTTTACTGCCGCTCAACTTGCATTCTGCTTCTTACACTCATTCGTACGATTGTCACTATTAGTGAAAGGAAAGTAGCCCTGGCACTGGTAGCATTGGAAGTAAGCACAATGACCATAATTGCTATCACCGCCATGATGAACGCTGATAAGAACGACGACAACCACTACACCCCTAATCCTTGACCCTTGATTCTTTGGAAAAACCCTCAAGTCAGACCTCTTATTAAACCCTAAGCCCTAAATGTTAAACCCGATAAACCGCACGACAAGAACAACTTAGCCAGGTTAATATCATCACAATCATGTCAGTCCACATAGTCAGCACCACCATTCCACCAGGTAAGAACCCCGGCAGAACAAACAACGATATTCGGCCAAGAATTCTCACAACGGCCAAGAGATCCGCACACAACAGTTTTGCAAACAGGCAGGAACAGACTCGTTCACTCATCTCCCTACCGTACTAAGCCCTTCCCCAAAAACCCTAGGCCCTGCGCGTCAAGTCCCCAAAAGCCCTCCAGCCCGCAACCCCAAAACCCTAAATCCTCCACACTGAAACACCCTCTGCTGTGCTATGCAGGAGCCACCGGACGAAGAGAAGGCCCAACTCGCCGCAGGCAGGCGGCTGCCTTTTGGTGTTTATCGGGCTCAGGGTTTATATACTTATATTTCCTATACCCGAAACCCGAAACCCTAAACCCTATATTTAGGGTTTAGGGATGGGGTTCATGGCGTTCAAAGCTCAGGATTTGTAGGGTTTAAGGATTTGGGTTTAGGGGGCTAGCATTGGAGCAGAGAGTTTTTGAATTGGAATGCCAGATTACGCGTATTGGTGGCTAATTTCACCTTATCTACGAGATATTGAAAGTGTCGTCGTGAGAGCGGCTGTGCATCAGCAACTTCTTCTCCGGATTTGCAGGCTCAATCTCAATCCAAACCCCAGAGCTGCGAGTGTGCTCGGTAGAAACCATGAGTTTAAGGCTTTTAGGGGTTTAGGGTTTCGG